TTTTCGGTTTCGGCCCAGAATTTTCATTTGGGTGCATCCCTACAATAAAATGTAAATGTGAAGTTTCAGATTTTTCTATTTCATCATGTTTATCTTAATTTAAATCATTGCTTTCTACATCATCAGGATTCAGTGGTCTCAGATTAAAGGTTACTTCCTCTTTAAACTGGAGAAAGTGATGGATGATTTTAAGGACTCATGTCCAGAGCAACGGGGACCTGCCAATCCAAACGTTGACTACATTCCCTTTGAGGAGATGAAGCAGAGGATTCTTAAAATCGTCAATGGATACAACGGGTAAGTGACGACATGCATATTCCACAGTTGTTCTGTAGTCCCTTTTTGAAAGCATTTCAATTAAATTGATATATATATATTTTTTTTTTTTTTTCAGGATTCCTTTCACTATTCAGCGTCTTTGTGAGCTTCTTACTGAGCCAAAAAGAAACTACGCAGGAACAGACAAGTTCCTCAGGGGTGTGGAGAAGGTATGTTGCATTCAAGGAAATAAACACAAAACTTTGGGAATGAATTTGATCTGTGCCTTGTTTTCTGAAGGCCTTAAAGCAGATTAACTCTCTCCGCTCAGCTGAATGAAATCTTTTTCATTTTCAGAATGTGATGGTGGTCAGTTGTGTGTATCCTACCTCAGAGTGAGTTAAACTCTTTCCTGCTCTATTTGACTGTTTTCTGAGTGGACAGCTTTCAGTGATGCTTGTAATGTGTTCAAAATCTGTTCTTTAATGCATCTTTTATTTTAACAGGAAAAAAGGGTCAGGTTGTGTGAACAGAATGAATGGTGTCATGTTCCCTGGTAGCACTTCAGCGTTTCCAGATAGGTGAGTTTATCACTTTAACCAGCATTGTGGAAACTTTGATATCAGCCTCATGGGTCACTAAACCAATTCAGTTTGAAATGTTAGCGCTCACTGTAAAGAGAAGCTTGTTGGACTTAATTTTACTGTCTGATGGCTTGATGTGTCTTTGATTGTCTGAGATAGAAATGTGAACGGTCCAGGAACACACAGGCCACTGAACAGACCAAAACTCTCCCTGTCCAGCGGTGTAGCTACCAACGGCCTTCCTGACAGCACAGAAAGCAAAGAACAAGCATCAGAGCAATCAGACAGAACAGTCAAGTGAGTACAAAATGCCTGAATGTGATACTCTTGTTCAATAGATTTAGACCCATTGAAAGATTTGTTATTTTTGTTGTGTTTTTGTAAGAACTCATTAGGCTTGTTTAAGTTGCAGCTGTTATTTTACATATTTAGGTAACACTTTACAATAGGTGTCATTTGTTAACATTAGTTAATGGAATGACTAACATGAACAAACAATGAACAATACATTTATTACACTATTGTGAATGTTAGTTAATGAAAATAGTCGTTCATTGCTTGTTCATGTTAGTTCACTGTGCATTATTGTTAACAGACACAACTTGTGATTTTAATAATGCATTAAATGCTGAAATTAACATCAACTAAGATTAATAAATGATGTTGAAGTATTGTTCATTATTAGTTCATGTTAACTAATGAACCTTATTTTAAAGAGTTATCCATTTAACCATTTTACTTATCTAAATTCCTAATATTTTCTATATATTTGTTGCATAAATTGCAGTAAATTCAGTTTGCAAGTGATTTTCCACACATTTCATAGTTTCTCATTTCATTTAAGCTCCTCGTTGACACTGTTGTCTCATTGGTAAAGAAGTACTTTAGCAT